TCCATCCCCAGTTTTTTACAACCGACGCCTCGTCGCCGTTCACGCGGGCCTCGTCCCCGGTGTCGCCCCCGAGAAGCAGGAACCCTGGGCCGCCATGAACATGCGCACCCTCACCTACCCGGCCGAGACGCTGCGCCGCGCCGACGCCCGCAAGACGCTCGTGCGCGCCGCCGCCGACGCCCTGCGCGCCTCGCCCGCCTACCGCACCCTCAAGGACAGCAGCCGGCTGCGGGACAAGATCGAGACCGAGGCCCGCGCCGGCGTCACGGACGCCATGGTGGACGACGAGTTTGCGCGCACGCGCAAGCCCGACGCCGACCGCCGCGTCGCCGTCCCGTCCGAGGCGCACGACGGCCACGCCTGGGCGCCCGTGTGGGACGCCGTGCAGAAGAGGGCCGAAACGGACGACGGCCGCGTCGCCGTCGTGTACGGCCACGACGCCAAGAGGGGGCTGCATGTCGGGGCGTACGCGTTCGGCCTCGACTCGGGGTGCGTGCGCGGGGGCCAGCTGAGCGCGCTCGTCGTTGCGGCGCGCGGGGGCGGCCCGGTTGAGCACCATGTTGTGCAGGTGGACTGCGAGAAGCCGGACAAGAGGCGTGAGCTTTGACGGGCACACTACCTGGGGACTTGTTTGCTTTGACTGATACCCCATGCAGACCAGGGGCAATACGCGTCGTTGGGGCTGTACATGACTTGAACCGAATACATAGATTCACGACTCGGAGCGCATGATCAAGATGGCCTGTCCATGCATTCTCCTCAGCTCGCTGCGTGGCACTTTTGGTACAAGATCGTGACATCGTTTGTTTTTCATTCTATATCGCACTTGTGTACGCTTCATTATCGTTCAGAAGTGGCCACACATAGCGCCCACCCCCAAAAGTCCCACACTCTGTACAACGAACATGATGAAAAAAGAAGGAACAGTTTTTTACGCCTGGATCTTCTGCTTGATAATGTCCTTGAGGGTGATGGCGTCGGCGGCAAACTTGGAGATACCCTCACGCAGCTTCTCGACGGCCATCTGGTCCTCGTTGAAGTCGAAGCGGAAGAGGGCCTCATCGCTGATGTAGCTCTTCTTCTCGAGGTCGAGGCTCGACGCGGCGGCGGCGTCGAGCTTCTTGGGGACGGCCTCCTGGGACTTGAGGAGCTCGTCCAGCAGGTTGGGCTGTGGCGTGTTAGTCTTTTTGACCCGTTTTCTGATGCCAGTGCGTGCAACGAGGCGGGAAAGGGGGAACGTACGGAGATGGTGAGGTAGTCGCAGCCGGCAAGCTCGGTGATCTCGCCAATGTTGCGGAACGAGGCGCCCATGACGATGGTCTTGTAGCCGAACTTCTTGTAGTAGTTGAAGATGTCCTGGACCGACTTGACGCCGGGGTCAGTCTCCTTGGTGTACTCCTGCTTCTTGGCGGCCTTGTACCAGTCGAGGATGCGGCCGACGAAGGGGGAGATGAGGAATGCGCCGGCCTCGGCGGCGGCGATGGCCTGGACGAGGGAGAACATGAGGGTCAGGTTGGTGTTGATGCCGTGGTCGCGCTGGAGGATCTCGGCGGCCTTGATGCCCTCCCAGGTGGAGGCGATCTTGATGAGGACGCGCTCCTTGGGCACACCCTGCTCGGCGTAGAGCTGTCGTGGCTGTTAGCAAGTGTTGCCCCTCCCCTGCGGTTTGATTGTGGTCTCGAGTCTGGCCTTACCTCGATGATGTGAAGGGCCTTGTCGACGGAGGCCTTGGTGTCGAAGGAGAAGCGGGCGTCAACCTCGGTAGAGACCTTGCCGGGGATGATCTTGAGGATCTCCTTGCCGAACTGGACGAGGAGGCTGTCGAGGGCGGCATCGACCTGGTGGTCGACGTCACCGCCCTTGGACTTGGCGTACTGCACGGCCTCGTCGATCAGGGCGGCGTACTCGGGCTTCTTGGAGGCAGCGAGGATGAGAGAGGGGTTGGTGGTGGCATCCTGGGGCTTGTACTGGCCGATGGCTGGAATGGGGGTAAGGTTAGCTTTGACGTCCTTTTGAGAAGTCCATGTTCTGCCTCTTGCCGGAAGAGCACGAGGGGAAGAGGAAGAAGAGAGACTAACAGGCAAAGTCACCTGGGAGGTTCGTTAGCAGAGATTCGAGGCAACTAGCGGAGGGAGGGCAGAGCAAGCTTACCGGAGTCGGAGACGACAACCTGAAGCGACGGAAAAACCACGGTCAGCGGGTGCTCATCAATTGGAAGTCATCCCAAAGCAGCAAGGAACAGTGCAATGTGTCCCGAGGGGGAGAGCACCGCCGTCGCAAAGCCTGAAGATGGTGAGGGCTTCAAAACACCGCAGCTCGAGGCAACACAGGTGTCGCCAGCTCGCGGCTACGGCGGGGCAGCCCCCCAGGGTCGATGCGCCGATGGCGGCATGGCGGGGTAATAACTCACGGTGCCGGAGGCCTTCAATTGATCGAGAGAGGAAGACATGTTGTGTGCGTGTTGGGGTATCTTGGCGACTTGGGGATAGAGGTCGACGTTTGGTAAAGGCAGCACCAGGCTGAAGAGTTTGTATGGTGATGGGATGAAAGGTGATGAGTTGTTGGGAAGAAGGAGGGACAGCTCAGAGGGAGATGGGCGAAATATTTGTCCCGCATTCAACCCTCCCACCAGCCTTCCCCCCTCTCCTTCCACTAGAGGTACTGCTTGGGTGAGGTGGGTATCAGTCATCCCACTTGGCTCTGACGGTGCCCCGCGCCAGACGGTAGGGTGGGCGATACGGCGGCTGTTTTGTCGGGATACCCACTCCGGCCGTCGAGGGGTTCTGTATGGCCACGTCCACGGGGGGTCCAGGCGACGCCCGCCGACAGCGGAACTGTCTGGTCTGCTGGTGTACATGGCAAAGTACCTATTCGTAAGGCCAGTATCACCTGCCTAAGGCCCCCCGTCAACCCTCCGAGCCAGCCGGCCATCTCGCCTCGCCGCCTCTCCCATGACCTCACTTCCTCGGCATGATTCAGCCAAAAAAACAGAGCCCATGGCTACACAGGCAAACCTGCGCAGACAGGTGGAATTGCCTCTCAAATACAAGAGGGCCCCTGTCGTCATCGCCCCCACCTAAGCCATCACAGCAAAGTGGGTGGGTAAGTGCTCGGTGGAGGGGTACAGGTAACCTCGGAAAAAAAACAATGTACCTCTTCACCCACGTCGGTCACTACCACTACGCCATCCCTTTACCCAGAGCCCCTCCTCACCTCACCGAGCTACGATGCTGAAAGCGAAAACATACAGGATAAATAAGCGCCCCCTCTCACCCTCAGCCCCGGATGAATTGGTGGCTGATGTTTTTTTTCTGTCAACTTAAAATTGCTCGGCTGCCAGACGTCCAGCCCACGTGCCCGGAAAAGACGTCCATTGGTTGTCCCCCCGACGTTGAAATTCTGTTGATGCGAGATCTGGAGACGGAACCCCCCACTCAAGGCAGGATGCGCGTCAATGGGGAGCGACCGCCTCTCCGGTCCGTCGCGCAAAGAGGGCGAGGGTCCCAGCAGGTCTAGCGTTTGGCTGCCTACCGAGTAGCTCTAGCTGCCGGCCTGCCCCGACACACTACGACCCATGCCCCCCCCCTCCCACCTGCCAGCTGAAGGCGCAAATGTGCTATTACCGCGCAACTCCACGGACATGCGCAATTCACACCATCACAACTACACCACAAAGACCACTGATACCGCCACGATTCTGTTATCTTTGGACTTCACTATCTTTTCATTTCACGTAGCTTTCGTCACTGCGTACGCTGGTAATCAAAATGGCCTCCCCAGCATAAGGTACATCTGCTTTTTGATGCACCCACCCAGCCCTTTTTTTGACGCCCCGCCCCTTACACCACCACAACCGCTCCGAACCTGTCTCTAATCCTCCGTAATGTCGCCGTACTCCCACATGCCCTGCCTCTCCTGCTTGGCCTGCGACTCGACCTCCTTGAGGTGCTTCAGGTACGACGCGTGCTGTCCGCTGCGCTCCCACGCCTTGAGCTTTGTCGGCACAAGACCGGCACCAGCGGCGAGGACCTCCTTGTTGATCGAGTCGTTGGGGCCCGGCTTGCCGGAGCCCGAGTTGTAGTCGTACAGCGTGATGTAGCTGACGCCCTCCTTCGTGTCGACAAAGTCAAAGCTCGCCACCAGCTCCTTGCCTCCAGTGATGTTGGCGATGAAGTCCTGCGCCTCGCGGAAGTACTCGGGCGCCGTCGGCAGCTGCACAAACGACAGGGACGCGTCCGAGGCCTGGCCCTTGAGCTTCTGCGTGCTGAACTGCGGCTGGTCAAGGGGACGCAGGTCCTTCCACGCAATCTTCTCCGAGTTGCCGTAGTCGATGAAGAGCACCTCAGCCACCTTGTTGGCCCGGTCATTGGAGCGGACACGTCCACGGTACCACTGGCCGTCAACCGAGTACTTGGCCGCGACGAACTCGCCCGTCTTGGGCGCGTCTCCCAGAGGCTTGGCGTTCTTCGAGTCGATGTGGAACTTCTTGAACTCGTTCATCATCGGTCGTCAACGCTGCAGTGCCCTTGCCAATCTCCTGGATCTTGAGCCTGCCGTTGCCCGTCCATCTCCGTCACCACAACGGTCGCGGTAGTCCTTGGCCTTGTTGTCGTACGACTCGGGCGTGTCCTGCGACTCGGCGGGTGCGCGCCTCCTCGACCTGCTCGTCTTGCGAAGGGGCCCAGTCCTTTCCACAGTCCCTTGGGGAGCTCCTTGGCACGCTGCT